TCCACAGGATTGTAGCTGACATCCTCGTGGATTCATCTTCTTATTACAGACACATGCATTTCCTAACATTCGGTCTATATGCTGTAAAATGTATTATCTCTTCGATTTACACACGGCATCTATTGCACGTCTGTCCGTCCTGGGAGAGGGATCCCTCCTCTGTTGCTCTCCCTGAGGTTTCTCCCATTTCTTTCCGTTTAAACTGTGGGTTTTCTCTGGAAGTGTTTCCTTGTACGATGTGAGGGTCTAAGGATAGAGGGTGTCGTATTGTCATACTGATATTATGTACACACTGTGAAGACCACTGAGACAAATGTAACATTTGTGATATTGGGCTATATAAATAAACATTGATTGATTGAGAGACGTAATGTGTCCCAGTTGTCGTGCATCAGCGGCCAAAGTGCCAAAGTCCCAAATACCTCTTTCACACCAACGCAACTCCGGTTCAAGCTCCGTGCTAGAGCTTTTCAGGTTCAGAACCGGTTCTTCAGTTTAGCTCCGGCTCTTTTCACACCGCCCAGAGTCCGACTGGTGCTGCGTCATCGTTTGCGTCATGACGTAACCGTTTGCGTGCCTGCTTCATAAAGCCAAACCGCGCGGAAACCCCTCACAGCTGACACCGACAACAACAACAACGGCCGATTGTGCTCCAGCTTCCTCTGTACCTCTTCGGAAGACCAGATTCCCAGCAGGTAGCTGGTCTCTTCAGTGGACCACCGCTGCTTGTTACGTTTCTCCATCGTTGTACAAACTGGATACAACGTGGGCTTCTTGTTGTTGTTCAGGAGTTGATGTAACTTAAGCTGATATAGATTCCATAGCAAACAGGTTTACCCATGTTTGCAACCTGCCTAATAAGGACAAATGTTATTGAGTCCTTTTAATGAAGCAATACATGAAACTTGATTTGTAACAACCTTTTTAAAATATTGAAATTCAAATCTTTCGATAACATGTGTTCAGCTAGATTATAGATGTATTAATAAAGTGAGCTGAGATCAGAATGAATCCCAGTGACGCTGCATGTCGTCACGCTGCCTCTGATAATACAACTTTATTCATAACGGAGAACAAACGCTCAATTCCAACTGCTCAGTCTGTTGCCATGGTCGCGCTGTCACTTCAAAGCAGAACTGACTCATTTGAAGTTCAGTTGGATGTTTATTTGGCTCTACTTATACAACTTAAATACACATGTAGAAATATCAACTCATTCATAAGAAACATGGCAAAAGCAGCCAGTAATGCAAAAAGGATTGAGCATCTCCGCTCATGAAGGGTTTACACAGATGCAGATGATTGTAAAAAAAGACTGTATCAAAGTAGGATTTATATCAGACCATATTTGATCACTGATCCACAGCAACAAGGTGTCACATTTTAAATATCAATGAGCATTAAGTTGTTTATCACAAAGTATGGAGGCTTCCCCCTCGCAGCTTTATAATATATTCATGTTCTCTCCTGGAGGGTAACAGTACATCTTTATTACATGAAATATGTATCTGTGTACGAGCCAGCTGTCACTTGAGACAGCTGGCTCGTGCTCTGTTCCAACATGTTGTTCTTTTATAATATGACTCTCAGATTGTTCATTGTGTCGCATGTCAGGAATAATGCTCATCATGAAGCAGCAGGTCGTAGCCAACATACTGACGTGTTCCTTCATAAAGCCCACTGAAAACACTTTAGGAACTCAGTGTAACTAAGTAGATTTACTGAAGTACTTAAGTACTTCATTTTATAATACTTTAAAGTTTTTACTTCACTACATTATTTGAAAACTGTAGTTACTATGCAGGCTCATAATATTTGTATGTATTAAGGATTAATATACCCAGCAGTATACAGAGTTATTCCAATTAGATCCACCTTCTGCACAAAGGTCTCTAATAATAGTCCAGCCTTATAATAAAAAAAGTATTCCGAAAAAAGGCCATTTTGCTTAATGAGTATTTTTAGTTTTGATAGTTTGATGCAAATGCTTTTGTACTTCTGCTTGAGTCAAATTGAATGCAATACTTTGACTTGTAACAGTGTCTTTCTACACAGACAATAAGTACTATGAGTACTATAACATCCACACACGTGCCTGGTGTTTGATGCGCTGTCAAAGAGTGAGACAGGCTTTAGTTTGATTGGAAATCCCCACAAAAGAATGGGAAACAACACGAGCCAGAAAAGAACGTCAGTATTATGGCTTTTATTCCATGTGATCCCCAAAATGCTGCCGTCAGCTGACAAGAATAACATACACTAGAAAGTATGGAATTGTTTTAATATTCTTTGGCATGGAAACATCTGAATATCTGTTAGCTATCAGCAATACAAGCCTCACTATATGAAGAGCAAGCACTTGTCCGAGCTGGGCCCAGAGGAGCAGGGTTGGAATCCGACCCGAGACCCTCTGTCTCTCCATTCAAAGGCAATGGTGACCCACAACAGAATAGTGAAGTTTCATCTTTTTAAAACCACCAGATGAGGAGAGAGTCTTCTGAGAAAATCAATAACATTCTGAATGAATAATGTATTTGTATTCACTTTTTCTTAGCATGGTTTCATCGTTTTTGATAGACATAATAAGAACACTGGATCTGAACCGGTAGACTACATTTCCTCAGTGTATGTTATAAATAGATTTATATATAACTGGTGAAAAACAGTCGGCGCGGTGATCTCCAATGAGGCTGCTGACACTGAGGGTCAGAGGTCAAACACCATCAGACATTAATAAGACGTGTATCCATGATTTGATGGTAATGAGCACCTGTTAGTCCAATGAATCTGTTCATTGAATCAAATCAAAATGAAGACAAAATGGTGCGACTTTGCTGCTTCAGCTGTAGTTTCCTCGGTGTTCCATGTTCAGGCAGTTATTCTTCCTGTTGTCTTTGGGTCAATTTGACGCGTTTCTAAAGTTCTCTATGTCGGAATAAGGTTTCGTCACAAAAATGACATGGATGGTTCTTCACTAATTATTTGCAAGAACAATTATGATCCCTACTGTCATTGAAGTATGGATCTGTCAATAACAAAATGCATATTGTCTTTCTGTGCTGCCATTAAAACCATTTGAAATGTGTTCAGAACTAAATCCTGACTCAACACCAGTCTGTGATCATCCATCGAGATGTTCCTCTGATTTCAACTATAGTCAAATAACACTTTGCCTTTTTGAACTCAAACATTTGTTTTTCATTTGTGGAAATTAGATCTATTGACCATACATCCCAAAAAGGAAACTTACAGTAATGAGTTTGGTTTCATTTCAAACCTTTATTTAACCAGGTGAATCCCATTGAGATCATTTTTTCAAGGGAGACCTGCAATGAAATGAAAGTTGAAATGAAGTTGCAAAAACACAGATTTGGGTGATTATTTAAAGCTTTAAATAAACCACGTTGCACAACTGATGGAAAGACCACACGCATTTAAGGTAAAACATGTCTGTCTTTCAAATGTTTAGGATTTATTAATAGTTTTATAGAAATAATCTTTAGTTGCAAGGTCGTAGAAAGAACTTTAGCAATAGGTCATGGTGAGTCCAAAACTCAAGCACCCACCAGCACAACGCTTTGAGCTGGCACCAAAACAACATTTCATTTTCAAATGATTTGTATTATTTTTTGAATTTTGTAATTGTATTCTTATCCAGCATATCTTCAGTTATATTTATGGCATATTGTATTCCTTTTTTCATAGTAATAATTAGATTGTATTTGTTGTGCTTAACATTGATATATTGAATGTAAACATACTGAAAACAGCCTAAATACCTAACGGTTTATTTATGTGATACTCCTTTTATCTGGGGCCCTGCGGCTAAATAAGTGCATCGTACTGTGAACCAAATATATTTCCCTTCATCCACGCTGATGCTTAGTTGTCTTTTATTTAACTAGAGTGCAATAATGACAAGCTACATTTAAAAATGACACACCTCACATTCTTTGAGACAATCTCACAGTACTTTGAAATATATTTTTGTTCTCACTTTATGAAGAACACTTATATAATCTATTGCAATTCAACACAGCAGCTCTGCCATAACTGTGGTCGTACACTCAAGTTAAAATAATAATACCGCAGTGTAGAAATATTTTGTTAAAAGTAAACTATATACTGTTGAGAGCCAAATATTTAAGAACCAAATCTACATTTTCCAAAGTGTCTATTTTCTGAGTAATATATGATATCACTGGTTTATAATGAGGATGCATTCATGTTTCTATCAGTTTAATGTTGCAGCTCGTAAATGATTAGAAACGCATGTTCAATACATTGTTATACTGTCACATATCTCTTTCCATAATAGGCTGCATCATAATGTAATAGTGACTTCATTTCTGTAAACATCATTTAAACCTACAAAAGTAACTAGTAACGAATGTTGTAAATAAATGAGTTAATTCAAAGTACAATATTCAGATTTTAGTGAAGTAGAAGTATAAACTACTACAGTAGTATAGGTACATGCACTTAGTTACCTTCCACCACCTAATAAACTGTATAATGTTCCGCTTTAATCTCGTAACGGAAATGCGTCACACAGTTGTCAGTAATATTTGTCTTTCTTAGGAAATATAGCCTAGGCTATATTACACTCCAACGGTAAGAGAAAAGGGTTTGGATTATTATTTTACAAAAAGGCTTCAGAACAGAAGCACCCGTAAACAGTTAGAGGACAGCACGGTTTTATTATTCATTATAAGTCTCTAAAAGATGTGTGTTTTGGCTGGACTGAGGCATCTAATACTTCCACCTGACACAGTCTACAGCTCTTTATTTTCAATATTATTTAAATTCATATCCGTTTTCATGCTTAAATGAGTGGCGATGCCTTTTTTCAACCTATCGACGCGGGAAATGTGAAATGATGACGTGCTTTTGTTTTCCTCCCCGTTAAAACGCTTACTAAATTAAATCCCTCCCGTTTTCTCAAAAAATCAATTTTGTGCTCCCAATTTTTTGTCTCAAAATAAAAGTCGGACAACATGTTGATGACATTTCATTTATATTGTAATGAATGCTCTTCATCCTTTTACGTAGCTTTGCTATTTTTGCTAAATAAGATGATATTTCACCCAGCTGTGTTTTACAGTCTGTTCCCCTGCGGCAGTGAATAATGTCACAACGGAGAGAATACCGGAAATACAACATTTAATATACACATATAACATCACCATATATTCAGACATGCGCCCCCCCCTCCCCCTCCCCCCCAGCCAGCGTAACCTTCATTACAAAACTTAAATTAAATATAAATAGCGGACACAGGATCAATAATAAAACGTAGATATTTACAGCTGTGCAACATCGCAACATAACCCGCGGCATGCCCCCCCCCCTGTACACTCTTAGGGTCCTCAGCTGTCAGAGTCCCCCTCGCTTTTCTCCTCCGGTTTCTCCGCGGAGGTTTTGGAGGATTTGTTCCATTTCTGAGAGCTCTCTGACTCCTCTGATGAAGACCGTTTCTGCCTCCTCCACTTCGCGCGCCGGTTTTTGAACCAAACCTACGTGATAAAAAAGCACAGTTTTAATATCTAAGTTTAAGGTTTGTCTTTTTCTTGCTTTGTCCTCAATATTCCCGGTCAACCCGAATAGAGCCTGTGAGTAGCCTATATTTCAGTGTATTTATTTGATTTTTACAGTATCCTACAATTAATACAAATTCCTCCACTTTAAATGCACAAAGCTCATTTCCAGTTCATACCGGTGTTGTGTCAAATTATGCACCCCCGTCGTGAAATGCACCCCTTGACACGGGAACGCGCATTTGAACATATGTCCGCTATTCTATGTTGTCTTTTTGATGGTTGGGTGGTCGAATCCTGGATTTTGCATTCATTCGTCACTTATTTTTCAGTTATCTTTTTATTTTCAGGCCAGGTGCATTTTCACGACGGGGGTGCATCATTTGACCAACCTGGTCTCACCAGAATGCGTGACTCCACCACGACTCCTTAACACCGCATTGCGTGCATGGTGGAGTCACTCACTTTGTTACATGTACGTGTCGGCACCACGCAAACAACCCCAAAGTGAATGAGGCTCCTTGGTCCAACCTGATCTCACCAGAATGCGTGACACTCAATGCACTGTTTTTTGAGAACAAACATTCGTAACTAATGCACCATAATACATTCTGACGAAAAATACAAATGATTATGAATACAAATAAAATAAAAGAAGCCTCCCGTGAGTTACTACAAGCTATAAAGTAGATTTTAAAAACGTTTTATAGAATAAAAGCTCACTGCAGGACGTTGTAGAAATGCATGTGCACCACGACCAAGGAGCCTCATTCACTTTACATTGGGGTTGTTTGCGTGGTGCCGACACGTACATGTAACAAATTTAGTGACTCCACCACGCAATCTGGGGAGACCAGGTTGAATTTGACACAACACCGGATTTCGAATGAACCCTTTATTTATTTTATCGCGCAATTCAAATTTAATTTTTTTTGTATTACACTCATTTATAATGTGTTTCCTCTGGTGTTAAATCATTGAACAGTGTGAGGATCATTGCGTTAATATATGGAATTTCCCCCGTGAAGCCCCCAATGTATGATCCAGTCAATTTCATTGATATAGTCCAACATTTCACAACTTAATGACATAAAATGTATATTGGTCTTTTTTATAAACGAATTAAAATTAGAGCTATTCCATGATGTCACGTTTCATTAAGTAATTGAGTTAGATTTTACTTAATTTCTTAAAGTAAGTCTTATATATTAAATATTAGTAATCTTTACCCAGCTGCCTATGATTGAGAGTAAATATTACTCATTTATAAATAATATTTTTATTAAATAATTGAGTTAGATTTTACTTAATTTCTTAAAGTAAGTCTTATATATTAAATATTAGTAACCTTTACCCAAAAACATTGGGGAAAATCTACTCAAAAGAAGTGTGTGCAAATTGTTACCCCCATTTTATTGAGTAGATCTTATAGGTTGATTTTTACAGTGTGCAATAGCCTGATGTCATACTTGTGTATTATCACGGTAAGTAAACACTTTCTTTCTTCGATAAATGATCAAATAAATTACTAGTAATAGTAAATGTACCTTGCTATTATTATTATTATTAGTAGTATTATTAGGCTATAATTGTTCATGTTTAGCATGGTTTTCCATCTAACAGTCTTTTTATTTTTCATTCACATTTAATTCTCTGTGTTTTAAAGGTTCTGTTTTTATGTGAGAGGAGTTTCTGTAAAATGTGCAATATAAATACGTTTATTATAATATTATTATAATTATCTGTTTCTCAGGAACTCATGCGTTTTTATTCTGAAAGTAGCAAAAGCTAAATTATTTAACCTCCCTTTTTTCTTAGATACATTTCAAAGGCCGTTGACTTGAGGAAAAGGCGTAAATAATAGAAATAATAACGATAATAATTGTTGTGCCACGGTAATAAGTGGCACAATGTAAATCTAAATTAAGAGCACATTAATACTGTTTGCATGTGTTGTACATATAACCGCAGTCTGAGTGTGTGATGAAAAGGTGAATCTCTGACCTCCACCTTCTCCTCCCGGAGGTGGACCTTGCGGGCCAGCTGCTCCCGGGTGCCCACGTCCGGGTACTTGGTCTCCTGGAAGAGGCCCTCCAGAGCCTCCAGCTGCTCGTCCGTGAAGATGGTGCGGTGCCTCCGCTTCCGGCGGCAGTGCAGCTGGTTGAGGAGCTGCAGCTCGGTGCGCGAGAGGCTGCCCATGTTCATGTAGGACATCATCTGGTGCGGCACCGGAGAGATCAGCACCGAGCCCGGGCTGTCGTAGCCTGCAGGCGGGGGAGGAAACACCATACAGCGGTGAGTTTAAGGGCTGAACGCTCCTACTGTCACAGCGCGTAAACACACATAAACAGGGCTCTGAGTTATGTGGTTAATTGGAAACTCTGGCTGAGGTTGTACGCAGATTACAGCTGCTGCGTAAAAGAACGGACATCTGAAATGTAAGAGTTGTCTCTTTTATGTAAGTGAATATGTTTTCTTAGAATAAACAAACTCCAGATTTAAAACAATCGGTCCTTTTGTACATAAACAAGCATCTATTTAAGTCAATGCGTAAAGCAACAGTTTGGAGCCGGCTCAGTGACAGTAAACCGCAGCAGGGCTGAGGTCATAACAACAGGATAAAGACATCACGCAAGCATCTGATTTAAGATTACAATATGTTCTGTATGGTTTGGCTTGTGGGTGCATTTGAAGATGTTATTTCATGCGTAAATAAAGGTTTTAATTATTTTATACATTAAGAACAACAATTATGTTTTTGTCTTCGCAAAGAATGTTGTCACAGATTAAAGGACATCATCAAAATAACAAGCCTTAAAGGTGACACAATAAAACTTGAGGGTAACTTTATGGAATCACAATATGCCATTTAAACTGTGTTTGACTATGTTGTTCAAACCGAGCCCTGTTGCAACAAATAAACTATTTAAGAAATTGCGCATCACAAAGTCCACATTCTATTATTTTAATAAAGGCACACTTCTTTAATCCCGCAGAGGAAATACCGTTTGAATTTTACTTCCATAAAGTATAATGTGCACATTTTAAGATGTGTAAATATAAGTCGGAAAACATCAGCAGTGTTCGGTCGTACCTGGCGGGATGCAGGGACACTGCTGCGGGCTGAGGCCGGACACAGAGCCGCAGCACGGCGGCCCCCCCCCGGCCCCCTGCACGTGGAGCTGTCCGTAGTAGTAGCCGTTATATCCTATCCTGGTCCCGTTCATAGTCTGAACTCCGGGGGGAGACGGCCCGCATGTGGCCGAGTACAGTCCGTTGTAGTCGGTGTAGATGGAGTCCGTGAGGCCGGACAGTACCACCGGGCCGCTCCGGTGCAGCAGCAGCGGCTCCTTGCAGCTCGGCCGGCCGGACAGGATGCTGTCTATGCTGAACATCCCGGCGGGCATCACACCGGAGGGCGACGGGAAAGTGGTAAAAGTGAAAACTGCTCGGTAAAGAGAAAGTCCTGGACGGGAAGCTGTCGGTGCCGCGTATAACAAGTTATCCTAGAAGTGCGTCATGGTGACTCTGAGGTTACTTTTGTTCCATGCATGCACTGATGGTCTCGAGGATGCGGACTGGCTCTTTAAATGGGACCTGCTGGGAGCTGCGCTGCTTTTATACCCTGCTGACGTCACTCCGGAGCGGCTGCTCTGGGATCAGCGGCCGCGCGGACGGCTGCAGATGTGTGTATTGAGAATTAATTCAATTAAGATAATCCGTACTGTTTGCAGACTTTTGGAAACTGTTGCTGCCTCACAGAGACTCTTCCTACACAGTAATCCGATTATTTCCTTGTCAATGAAGGCATTATAATCTAATGGAACACATTTACATTATTATACGCACACGGGGGGGGACGGGGGGTGGTGTTGTTTCCGTAATAAAGGAGTAGGTAAAATGCACCAAAAATAATAAATAAATACATTGATTAACCGGCTCATAATCTTTAAATGATAATTCTACTAATGTTACAGGATTTCAATTTTTTCCATTTTTGTGTTTAACATATGATTTTCTATTGCTTTATATATAATACGTGTTTAGGGCTATAGCACGTAAAGGTGATATAATAAGTTATTTAAATATAAATATGAATTGAACAATTTTCAAATCGTCAAGAAATGTCAGGTTTCTCCACAGGCCTACACCCATACTTCAACACAGTTTTGTCTTTATTTAATATAGCCTTCAGCCTCCACAGGAACAGGATGCTGGTAGGCCATCCATGCTCGGAGTCTGATCGTTATTATGACATTATTATTATTATTATTACTTTAGAATGAGATGCTATAAACACTTCCAAGGTATATCAATTAGAAGTTAATAAATGGACCTGGAGATCTGCAGGGACAACAAGCTGCATGAAATTGTAATCAAGGCTTTTATTTGTTTTCCTTTCCGCTTCCCCACATGAGTAAATGAATAATAACCATATTTCCATGTCAGACAGAAGCCGCTGA